CATTATCCGAAGTGAAATTGGATAATAAGTTAAGATATGTAGAAGAGTCGGAAGAGATCGTGAATGAAAGAACAACTAATCTACGTAATAAAGAAGTGGAGTTGGTGCTTGTCAAGTGGAAACACCATCGAGGCCAAAATTATACTTGGGAAAATAAGAATGAGATAAGAGCAAAATATCCCCATTTATTTTAATCAATGTAATTTCGGGGACGAAATCCTCAAAAGGAGGAGGTATTTGTAACATACACGTTTTGAAATTGTGTTTTAAGTAAATAATATTATGAAATATTAAGTGGATTTGAATGTCAAGTTCTAACAGATAGTTTTTACTAGAAATGAAGTAAAACTATGCTTAGAATCATTCAGAAAGTATTGGAAGTCTTGTGAGATTCCAAACAAATGTCAAATAGTGAAATATAGAGAAAATATAAAATTTTGAATAAGTAAAATTTTATTATTGAAATTTGTAGATAATCTCGTTAGAAACATTTAGGCGAAAACCTCATCGAAATCCGAGTTATCACGAAGAAGTTATGACCAAACAAAGATCCGTGATAAATCCGGAAAATACTTCGTCGCGTAAAAATTTAGTTTTCGATAAACTAATTTTTAGCCTTAGAAATGTAAATGAAAGTTGTAGAACTCGTGAAAATAATCAACCGTTTGAATCTGACTTCATATGAGAAAGTTGTGATTTTTCGAAGTTTCAGCTTAGCAGTAGACAGCTAAAAACTCGAATTTTAGATCGAGTGATTTTTTAGCCGACACAACCTAAACGAGAATTGAAGGTCCCGTTATTAGTAGTGCAACGGTAAAAAGTCTGACGAAAACGGACGCCAGATGAAGAAGTTATGAATTTTTAACGGATTTTCCTATCCCGGTTTGTTAAAAATAATAATATTAAAATTAAATTCAAAATTAGCCGACGAAGTCTAAACGAAAGTTGTAGAGCGTAATTTTAGCTACGCGTGCATATAAAGAACATCAAAAACGGAGCTCGTATGCGAAAGTTATGGAGTTTTGAAGTTTTGGCGCAAAAACCGAGAAATTTCGCATAGGTGGCTTCGGCCACGTCACCCTCGCTCAAAAGATGCCAAGTATCCGAAATTGGTGAGTCACCGAATCCAGGTGGCGTGATGTGTCGCCTGCCCTCACATCCGGAGTCCGGTCCGCTAAGAATCCAACGCGTGCCCTTTATCACGTGTGCGAGCCTCGCAGGGGTGCCACGTCCGAAGCCTCATACTAGACCTTGGTCCAATCAGAAGCCGACACCGAGCCCCTCGCATGCCCAACCCACGTGCAAGCCACCTGCGCACCCTCGCCCTGCTGATGCCGCTTGTCCTCGCTGCTGACTCCCCATCCTTAGCCGACTTCGGACCTCCCTATAAATACAAGGGGCTGCGAAACCTCTCGGGTAATTTTGGAAAATTGCCACTTTCACCCTTTATTTTTTTGATATTTTTACTATTCCGACTTCCCCCGAAGCCCTGGTACTGATTCCAAAGCCCGAAACATGCCCCGAGACTCCCGAGAAGCCCGAAAATTTTATCTTTTCGGTTTCAAAGCTCTACCTTCGTAGAGCCCGGTTTTCAAGAAAACTCCCGGTTTTCAACGATGAAAGTCATATTTAGAGCCGAAGTACTGCCCAAATTAATATATATCCCCCGGTTATTTCACGGTGAGTTTAATATATAGAAATAATTGTATGTTATGTGTTATATGTGGTACGTGCTTTTCAGTGTTATCATTCCGGGTTATTTTCCCGGGTTATTTTTATTTGCTATTTTTAATAGCAAAGAAATACCTTTGACCATGTGATCAATGAAAGGACTTAGATTCACGTTGGTATTGGTATGTAGCCTCTAGCCATGTGGAACATGTCTCTGTAAGATAATGAATTATATTCTATGGTAGTGGCAGAAGGTTAGATAGGGCTATAAGCCTGAAATCTACTGAAATGTTAATCCGAAGTTGTATATCTTCTGTGCCATTTGGGCCAAAGCTTTATTGATGTATATCAAGCATGGAAATTGTTATGTCTCATTGATTGTATATCTTTAAATCAAATCAATGATTGATATGGAATGTTTGTCACATGATTCACATATGCCCTTGTTGTTCCTTATTCCTCTTTGCTTCTACCCTATTAAAGTATATATGGCATAACGTTATATTGTATCTATTATTGAACTCACTAAGCGTCACCGCTTACCCTCTCGATGTTTAACAAATTGCAGGAGATGAACATCCAGTATAGTTATATACTGGTAGAAGATTTTTGAATAGTTTGAAACTATTGTATCGATAGAAGCTTATGATTAGTTTGAAACTATTGTATTTTGCACTCCCATATGTATAAAACTATAGAATCATGGGAAGTTATGTAATATATAACACTTTAAAATAGTCGGTTTGTATCCAGTAGTTTGTAATCTCTTTATCAATGTAAAATATTGTTTTTATGAATATGCAAGTAGCATGTTTTGGAGTAACTACATTGTCGGGTATGAAAGTTTGATTACCTTTAAATGTACACTAGTTTTAAGACGTATATAAAACAAATAAATAAGTATAAAGTTTTCATAATCTTGATTGCGAGTTCCATAACCATACTACATACTAGATTTGACTCGAGCCGGGGCCAATATTTTCTTTGACTTTTGTGACCCCTGAACCTTTCGGTTCGGCTGTAGCGAGCAGCCAGGTGCGGGATAGTCAGTCCCATATAGATCAATACACTCAAGTCACGCTCTCCACTTTACGGAGATTCTGGTTACGAGGGCAGTCCTCCACTTTCGTGCCTAGGAGGTGTTGCAATGGACGTGTCTCCAATCTTTAAGATTCATGACTTTAAAACTGAAATTATCAATACGGATGTCCTGTTATAATGATACGTTACTCTCATGTCTAGGGGGAGTACTAACTAGGACCTTACTAAGTTCCAATGATACCTGTCCTTCACACTCGTGTCTAGGGGTGTTTTATTAAGGACAATACAAAAGTTCTATTTATTATCCTCCACTCGCATATCTCCTTCGGTTGTTATCGAGGACAAAACGACTTATTAAGTTTCCTGTTCAAAGTTTAAAGGTTATGTTTTTAACTATTGTATGAGGAAAATTATTTGTGAAAATATAAAATACGACAATTTAAAACGTTTTTCACAAATACTATGATAATGAAATCTGCAAGTTCAAACGGTTATCTGGTATGATTTACAGTGTTAAAACATAAGTAGTATGAAACACAACACATATAAAATAAGTTTTAAGTACAAGTATTACTTGTACTTTGCTTGTATCCCCCCCTAAAAACAGTAAAAACATTGAAAAAGGGTAGGGGTATGAACTCACCGGACGAGAAATGTGTCAACGAGGATGCAAAATGTCGGATCAAGGCTTGAAAACGTGCGAGGTTCCTATGTAATGTTAAATGATACACAAATGTATCTAATTAGACTTTAAAACACTAATCAGATACGATTATACACTCCAAGATGCGAAAACACTTAAAATCACGTGTTTGGAGTGACCCGAGTGACGTTTATGGATATGAATGGCTAGGATATGGAGTTTACTCTTCAAGAGTAAACTCTAAGGAGTGTTCACGGCCCTAAAAACCACATCCCCATGAGTTTACGGCCGTAAACTCATGGTGGGGTGTTCTTATGTGCTAAATGGCCTTAAATCAAATGAGAGGTGTTGCTAGGTTTGGTTCTAGAGCATTATCAAGGAATTAACTCAACCATATGGACTAAATGATGAGTTTACGGCAGTAAACTAAGTGTTTATGGCTGTAAACTCTCACCCACATCATTCTTAAGTGTTTTGAAGGTCAATGATTAATCACAATTGATTCTACTCAATTTTACAAGCCAAGGGGTGAGTTTAGGGCATCAAACAACCCATTTATAGGAGTTTACGGCCCAGGAACCCATTCTTGGGGGTTTATGGCCGTAAACTCCTTATGGAGTTGTTTTAATCAAGTTTAAGGTCCCTAAATTGTTTTTGGTTGCTTCTAGACTTTATTCCAAGGCTTATGAGGTGTGTAAGTTGCACTTTAACACCCAAAAAGGAGTTTACTCCCCATGAAATGGTGTTTACAGCCCAAGCTTGTTGTTGGGTAGTAAACTCATGTTTACTACTCAAATGTTGAGTTTAAGGTGTCCTAAGTCCAATCCAATAAGTCCTTAAGCCATATCTAAGCTCTAATGGTGATTTGGAAGGGTTTTGAGGCTCAAAAACACCACTTATATGTGTTCACGGCCCAAGAGTGTTCTAGGGCCGTAAACACATGTTTGAGGTGCTAATTCATGAATTGAACTCGAAATTAAAGCCTAAGGATGATGTACAAGAAGCTAGGATGATTACCTTGGTGTTTTGAAGCTTGAAATGGATGATTTTTGGATCAAATTCTTGAGTTGAGGAGAGAGGTTAGAGAGAGAGTGAAAAGGCTCCAAATGAGTCTTCATTCACTTTAAATATGGTTTGAATTTGATACACGGTGGAATTCTCCCCGATACAGAGGTTAACCGAGGCTTTTGGTCGCACCCGATTAAGCTGTCGTTACCCGATATGGTCGAAACTAAATTTTTTCTAAGTACTAGTTTGGGGCGTTTTAACATGTTTCTAACATGTTTGGATATTTACAAGTTCAAATAAAAGTCTTAACTTAATTAACCTAATCGAAAAATGAAATCGGAATGATTCGATTAAAACGAGTTTTATGGACGAAACGGGTTGCGGCGATGGAATAACTTCGGAAAATCATAATGATATTAAGCTTCATTTCATACTGGAATCATAGGAATAACACACCCAAAGAAAGCACACCACTTTATCAGTCAAATCGTGTGTTTTAAGAAACGAAAACGTACCGAATTCAAACTTGGTGGTAGGGTTTGCGAACAAGATCGAGTTGCCGGAGATTCTCCAAGGTGTTTTATGTTCTAAAAGGATAAAAAAGGAAAAACAGAAGAGACCTGTGGATGGCTTTGTCCTATGCGAACGAGAAGAGATTTATCAACTCTCTCACATCAAGATTATTTGAGTGGATTCTTGCAATGATCCGAGGTAATACAACCAACGATGTGTTGATGTTAACATGTGACCAACTCCCTTGTTATGCAAACCATTCGAATAAAAACACCAAGATAAGGAAATAAAAAAAATATCCAAAATTCCCTAGAATAATAAAAAAAAAAATCCAAAACAGTAAGAACGAATATAAACTTATTAAAACAAGTGTAAAGTTTGTGAAGGAGCAAAATACCTTGACACGTGCAGTATAGTGACCAGCTCCCATGTTGCCATAGTGATTGGCCAAGGCTCCAAAGATCCAGTTTTTTAGCTGCTCGTCTTATCTCTTTGCATTGAGGGCAGAACCACATGTATTCAGGTATCAATGGTTCCTCACGCAGGAAACCTTCTGTGCAACTATAAATACTCACTGCTAATTCTGCTTGAATTGGTAATGACAGATACATGAATGGATCAAATGTAACAATATCTTCTCACATGTAGGACAAATCAAAATCGACTTGTATTTCCCCTGTCAAAATATAAAAATAAATACTTAAACATTGTCATTATAAGTTTTTTTTTTTTAAAGTAAACTCACTTGGAAAACATCAACAATTATTGAATCGTTGCGAGAGATGTGATTTGCCCAGTATTCATCAGCAACTTGTTCATCGGGTCGCCAATCAATATCTTTCGACTTGTAATAAGGCTTCTGTTTGACCCGGTTCAGATCTTCATGAAGTCCATCCAACAAAAATGCAAGAAGTTCCTGACCCCACATAAAAATACAACTCAACATATATAAATATATTGACCTCAAAAGAACTTCAATCTGCTCCTTGAACACCAAATTTTCCTGAAACATATGTAAGCAAAAATTACAGAATTGCCCTGTCATTTTCTTTGGGAAGGGAGAAAAAGGCTTGCCTTGTGAAGGGTAGCTGCTGCTTCACCAGCAACACGTTCACTTATGGAATTCTCCAAAGTCTCAAGTACCCTCATAGCATGAAGCCCAACATCATCAATGCTTGTAGCACTTGTCATTTCTGTCACAAACAATTCAACCTATTCTGCACCACTTTTAGGGATGTTGTCATTATTAGTTGATGAGTTGTTCTCCAAAGAAGCAACACCTTCACTCTCAGTAGAAGAATCTGTGGTTTTAATTTTAATTAATAAATGAATCTTGTTTATTAAATATACCAAAAAAGAAAGTTCATAACAATAAAGACACATAATTTCCAAAACTCTATTTATTTGGCAATGGAAATGAAAAGAATTACTTTTTCATTTACTGCATCTGATTGCATGGGTAAACCTGAGATCCCATCCACATATCCAAGACAGAGTTCATTGAGACTCTTGATGGCAGAATCCAAATCATTTCCACTCCTTTCTAGTGCTTTCTCCAACAGTTGAAAACACAGTTTGTTTCTTTTAAACTGAAATTCATACACCATAACATAGAATAGTATTAATGTGATTTGAAGTTTGAACAACACTAGACATCATACATCACAATCCACAAATATTATAAAAGGTATTTAAGTGAAGTGGATCTGATTCAGGCCAGATAACAAACACATACAAAGACATTATGCATCTCAAATGCCTCCATGGGAAGGAAGTTGTCTGTTATATTGGTCAAAAGTCACAATGGTTCATTAAACATTGTGATGATTAGTATGTATATATATGTGTATGAATTGTATTTGTAAAAGTAACTGATGTGTGATCAATAAAGATAGTATTTACTTCACATAATCTCCCCCCTCTGATTAGCGAATGTTCCTTTATCTCTTTAATTTGATATTTCTCAATATTCGTTTACCTCTTTAATTTGATATTTCTCTAACAGGAATCATCTAACTCACTTGAATATAAACCTTGTGCGTTATATCTATTAGCAATGTTATATATTTTGGAACCATATTGGATATGAATTATCATTGTGGAGAAAAAAATCAAATATCACACAGAACCCTAACCCTTAATTCACTAATTCAACAGTGGGATTAATTTTGTATTTACGGGAAGATAGAGAGGAAGAAGATGAATACGAAAGTAAATACGTACCGTTGAATCTTTTTCTCCTTCTTCAACCTTCACTTTTGAAGAACTTCCACCTCTTCATCCTCTTATCCTCCTCCCACACAGAACAAGTGAGGATGCCAGAGCAGTCAACCATGTTACGTAATTGCTTCACCGCTGGGCCCCATCGTGAGTTGTAGCAGGGCGTTGTCAATGTGAAGAGTCACAGACCCCCAATCGTCGGTTCTATGAAGCATTTTGTGAGGTCCCCCATCGTGAGCTGCAGAAGAGAACGTAAGAATGAGGTTTAGATGAGATCGTCGCTTTAATACCCAAAAACATCTTCTAGAGATGGAGACAACCAAAACAGCTTCAATGGCATTTGGAAAAGGGAGGTAATGCAATAAATAATGCATCAAAGGAGTTCAGAAATACCAGTGCCATGAATTCCGTAACAAACGGAGTCGGGAAGATCAACAAAATGACCCGAGATTGACCCATCTGGTAACAACGCTATTGATGTCATTCCTTCCACTTTCGACTGTTCATCCTCCACTTCCTCTACTGCTACTTCTTCACCATCTTCTACTTTTTCTATACGTTCCATCAAAATGGAGGTAAAATTATACAAGGGTTTTTTTCTTTAGCATCAAATTTGACCTAACCGACCATTACCCAAAGTAAAAGAAGTAATACTTACGAGAGTGAGATAGAAAAAAATTAGGTTCGGATTTAGGAACCCTAAATCATTGGCTCAAATTGATAACTAGGAGGTAAGAACCCCAAATCCTCAGCTCATTAGGGTCGAATTAAAAGTGTAAGAACTTGTTGGAACCAAGAATTAGGTTTTTGGTGGAGGTGATGGATAGAGGAATTGAGGAAGCTGTGGATGAAGACGAAGGCCCTAATTCAAAGAGGTAGGGAATTTTTGGGATGAACAGGTCGGGGTTAATTTTTTGGATTTCATTTTCCCCCTAAAAATGCGTGTTTCCTAAAAAAAAATATAAAGTGATATAGTTACCCGACGCACATTATTTGATAGGTGCCATCCGTATTTTTTTTTTCTAACACTAATTTAGGGCGCGCAAAAATGCGTGTCCTCTATTCTTCAAATTTTGAAAAACTAAAATTAATTTTTAGGGCACGCACAAATGCTTGTTCTCTATCATTGTGTGTCATTAATTGCACGTCGTAAAAGACTATTTTTCTAGTAGTTAATCGACATCCTCTTTCTTCTTGTAGGGCAAAACCGCAATTCCTCCTGATTTCGTGTGTAAACATTCGTTTATAAGAATTGACTATGCCACATAATTGTTATTTAGTTGTTATTTATGCCACATATGCTTCCACATCAACAAAACATGTAGAGTGCGTTCTAAAGGACTTAATGTGTACATTTTAAAAAAAGTATAAGAGTTTATTTTACAAAAAAAAATATAAGTACTAAACGTGTAGAAAACGAGAACTATATTACCCTATTAGGTCATTTTCCCTCATATTAACTGGTCAACGAAAATTAAACGGGATAAAAAAAAAATAAACAAATTTTAATGTGCTATATTTAATGGTTTAAAACTTAAAGATATTAACTCAAGAAAAACGAGTTTGCATAAGAGATAATAAACACCCTCAGGTAAATTGACTGATATAAAAATAAACATGTAAAGATATGATCAAAGTTTTTCAATTTGTTTAATGTTTCAATCCGACACTATTCTTAGATCTAGTTTTGGCAGACTAAAGTTAAATTATATTATGTATTGTTGAACAAGTTGGTAAAAATATGTATTTTTAGTAAATTTTGGACACATTTAAATACATATATATATATATATATATATATATATATATATATATATGTTGTATATGTAAGTAATCCTTAGTGGGATGTGTCTCCTTTATGAGAGCTTCGAAACAATATATATAATGTGCCTAAAATGAAGTATGTGTGAATAAAATAATATTAATGCTAAACAGTTGAGTACGTAGAATAAAATTTGGCAAAACCATGTGAGTATAGGAATATGTCCTACATTGAAGGAAGAGTAAACTCTCAGTAGGTGTATAACCATGGTAGTGTAAGAATTTAGAAGCTTGTTTGTGTGGTTTTGCTCCAAGACTTATGTAAGTAGGGTGCATATTGTGGATTTCGCGGGGTAAATGCACCAAACTTCTATGTGAGTGGGCCCTGCTGACAGAAATGCATTCATGAATTTGCTAAATTTAATTTGTCAATTTATGATTTAATTGTGACAGATACAATGATCACTACCGACAAAATACTCTCTTCATACATATGAATTTTCTGCCAACATTTTTCTGGCAAGTGGTCATCTCTGGTAGTACACCTAATTAGGTTGTTGTATCCTAGGAATATACAACAAAATTGTTTAATGGAATCGTGTCAAACACGAGCACCAGTCACTTCATGTTAATTTGTTTATTTACAACTTCGTCCTTGGAGACTTTCTCACAAGAAAGATTGTAATGTTATGATTTTCACCTCATTTATTTAATTTTAAACACAATTTTATAACTATATCAACATAAGTCTTATTTTATTACTTATAAAATATCACCAACGTTACTTATGTCCAAATTGTCAAATTCAACCCGTTTAAAGTTCAAATGCAAAACTAATACCAAAACACACACCATAAACCAAATGTAAATGCAACATCATTGACAAGTCTCGAACTAGTATCATTAATAACATAAAACTAAGTAACTACTCCAAAAGAGTCTCAACCTCACCAAGCCATCGAATCAAGCTACCTGTTCCAATGTAAGACCTAAAACAACAAGCAAATAAACAAGTGCCATCATTAACATGAGTCAATACCAAATACATCTGTATGGAAACAAATATACTTCATACGTTATGTTTAGTCATGCAACCAGTTCATCCAAATCAACATACATTGATTATAATTATTATTAATATATAATGCATATATTAATATGGACATTCTTTTCATCGCAATAATTATTATTTATTTTCTTTGCTATAATTACTTTTAATATCCTTAACTAACTAGAGTCTAAAACTTCACTAACACCCCATAGAAAGACCATGTTATCTATTAACATGACATGGCGACCCAGTGCACCAAATGCGAAGTGACTCTCACCCGCAACATTGTCCCTGGTTCTCTGTGTTCATGAATCCAACTTTACATGTAAGATCATGATGCATTGTCGTTAAAAGGTGGTACTATGGCACTTCCAAACACATACCCCCCCAAACATGATGCTTGATACGACGTCTTCGAGTAGCCAACATCACTCCAGTCCTCGTATACCAAGTGCAGCGAAACCATGTTTTGAAATGGTTACCTAAAAAACCACTCGGCATCGACTTGGCTTAAGCTCTTTTCCTCCAATGATATCCTTCCACTACACCATCTAATAGCGCAAGCACGTACTTAGGTTTCTACCCTTTTACCCCACTATATGTATTCCCCTTTATTTTAATTAATGTTATAATTAATTAACTCACTCGAATGATTCATTACACACAACTCACCATTATCGGTATGTAATCATTCTTGTATTTTATTTATTATTTCAAGGCATATTACATCACATGTCATGCTTCAAAGGTATATACTCAAAATTGTCATATAACATCATATTAAATCATGTGAAGAGATGCACCTTTTAGAAACAAAGTTTTTAACATGCATTTCCTACCATCATTTAAACATGACAAAACAGAAACATGTCATACATAACATTATATTCTAACAACATAAATAATCGTCACCAATAGCATGATCCTAATACTCTTTTATAATGCACAAAACAACCATTTTAAGGATTATAGCATACAAAAGCTTCCCTAAATAATTTGTTTATGCATTACTTCATAAAATCATATTGTAAACATTACATAATCTTAAATTATAAGACACCATACAGCAATTAGACTATGCATATGGATTAGAGCATGAAGTGTCCAAACATGTTGTAACGTCCAATTGTCACAAACAATTATTTTTTTTATTTTAAAATAAGGTTAAATAATCATTTACATAAAACCAATTCATGAAAAACCATTTGTTCCAAATTATAGTTATTTGAAAATCAGATTATTACAAATAATGCAACATCTCTATGATTGTTGATGATTGTAAACAGTCACGCCTTTGCCTTCCCCACGATCATTAGTGGTACCTAAAAAACATTTAATCCACAACTATAAGCCAAAGCTTACCACACACCACAATATACATACAATGCATGCACACATGAACCTTCATCTATCTGGCCAGTCTCGCAAGGCCTAAAACATGTCTGGATCACTCTCCCAAGCCTACAGTATGACTGGACCCCATACTAGGCCTACAATACACTTGTGAGACAACCTGAAATTTTTTGCTTTGAAAGCCTAGTCAATCAACTCAATTGAGTGTCAGACTCATTTCAAATAAGTTCTAGCCTTGTTTAAAGTCATTCTAAGGAGTTTTAGCCTAGTACACTTAAGGAATGAGTGCTAGGAAGTACCTGTTAGAGACATTGTGCAACAAATCAAGCCTTAACCCCATCAAAAGGAGTTCACAGCCACAACACTTGAGTTTACAGCCGTAAACTCAAGGTGGGCCGTAAACTCCCTCATTAAGGTCTCATTCCCTTCATTTCCTTTCATTATTTCACTTTCACCTCAAGAACTTCCAATTCTCTCTCAAGTATCATCGAATCCATCATCTTAGATCATCAAAAGTGTAAGTGTTCTTCCTTTAGTTTATTGTTAATCCTTCTTAACTAGCTTCTCCCTAATGATTCATCCATGGAAATCAACTTTTCTTAGATCTTCAAGAAACACCAAGAACACACACTAGTGTTCTTGGATCTTAATCACCATTTCAAACCTCTATATCGTAAGTACTCTCTCCTTAGCTTGTTATATAGTTGAAACACTAGATCATAGCCTTAAAAACTTCATCAAACTCATCATCAAAGAGAGTTTACGAACATGAGTTTACACCCTGGCCGTAAACCCTTGAAAGTGTGGTGTTTTGAGCCTTAAACACTTCTAGACCCTTGTTAACCCTTAGACCACTTGAACCTTTGAAACTCCTTGCCTTTATGATCCAAGGTGAGACCATTTGGAGATTTTACGGCCATAGGGTTTATGGTGTGGCCGTAAACACCTCAACACCCTCCAAAACATTGGTTTTTCTCATCCTTCTGAAGAGCAATGGTCCCCTCAAGTTTCCCTAGCATTCAAATACCCTCTTATGCACATTATCATGAGTTTACACCCTGGACCTAAACACCGTTTCTTGGCCTTAAACATCCCTTAGTCCAATCACATGTGATTCCAACACTTGGTCAAAGTGTTTCCTAGTCCCGTGAGGTGTTTCCTTGCATTTGGTTGATTCCAAATGCTATTTTTATGTCAATATATGCCATTATATGTTATTTAGGATTCGTTAAGTCTCGGGACTTCATTCGTGGAGCTTCTCATCCTTACACACATATTCGTTTAAATCACCCACATCAGGTGAGTTCATACACCGTAATTAATATTTTAAACTGTTTTAAATGTTTTAAGGGGGGGGGGGATACAAGTTGAACACAATGATAATTGTGTTAATGTTTGTTATAAATATATTTCAAAAGATTTCTTATGTCTTTTATAAGTGGTCAAAACATTTCAAAAGCTCTTTTCAAGTTATGTTACTTTCTAGTTTATGAAAACTCCATTTTTAAAGTACAAGCATAACTTAGTAGTAAAATGAGTCTTTTCAATAACAGTTCAAGTAAAACATTAGTAAAATATAAAGGGTATAGTTCAGAGGTTCAATTCATACTAGATACAATACACGATAACAGGAAGAACATACTAAGATACTATAACAGAACGAACATACTAAGTTGCTATGGCATGGAACTACTACATGATCTAATTATACCAATGAATCACTAACTCTTTGTTCTAAACAAAAGGTGATAGTTATATTGGGTATACATGATTACATAACTTTAATGTGGATTACACGACCTAGCAACTAGTTTGCGGAATTCAC